AATGGCTATTGAAATTTATATATTTGAAAACAAAATATAAAATGTTTAGCACAAAGAAAAATATAGAATATCCAAGCTTCTTTTTCAACAATGTGAATTAGACTTCATTACACAACACAAACACCTCGGAGTCTCTCCATTTCACACGATGCTAGTTGGTCACCACATTAAAATATACTGTCTATTCAAACTGACAAGAAATTCTGTCTTATGATATTCCAAAGTGTCGATTACAAACTTATAAATCTCTTGCTTTATTCCTACTGTAGTTAATGAATGGAACTCCATTCCACTTGAAACTCGAAATTTACAGTCAATGTCGAAATTCAAGTCTAAAATTAGTAATAAAAAATCTATGGCCACCTTCTTACTGTGTGCGGTAACAGAAGACTTAATGTTCTTCAAACCAGACTACAACATAATTGTGTATTAAATAACGACCTTTTTAGATGCAATTTAATATCAAGTCCCTTGTGCACGTGCGGTAAAGTTGAGGACACATATCATTATTTTTTACTATGTCCAAAGTATGTGAACGCCAAAATGAATTTTTAAATAAATTTTTACAATTTGACAAAATCCACATACTAGATACACATGTTTTATTATGGGGGGTTGAATCACTGAGTGCTGCAGAGAATGAACATCTCTTTTCTTTTGTTCAAACATTTATTAAGCATTCTGGTAGATTTCCTTGCTAATTACTGTACCAATATTGATATATGAATCTGTTCAACTTTATATATTTATACATATATGCAAAATGCATCAATCTGTTTACTTTTGCAAATTCTGAATACTTTTTATAGCATGCTTAACTGTGACAATATCAATGTGTAATTTATATGAAGTAGGTCATAGGGAGAGGGCGTTTGTTTTCAAACTTGAATCCCTTTGTAATTATATTACAATAAAAATATGTTCAAATCATGACTGCATGCATGAAATAATTACATGGAATCCTTGTTCATGAGCTAAAGTGACTTAATCTATTAATTATAACACAATGAACTTTATGATGTTCTTTTTTCATTTATTTAATATTGTCGTATACCACATTGTAAACACCATTAAAAGTAGGAGATGTGCTGTTGGACTTATAATAAAATAAAATCAATATTTTACCAACAGAATAAACATGATAAAATAACAAATTAACCATCCAATCATATTCTAGGTCTGCAGTAGTTCTTGATCTGGATGAAATGAAATCACGTAAATAATCCTCTCCTAAATTTTAAATTAAAAAAAAAAATCACTTATATGTAACCAGAAAAGAAGAATAAAATTAAAAATGGAAACATGACTATAATATGTTAATGTTATTTGTACAAAAATGAAGAATACAAGATGTGTTTGTGAAACACTATGCGCCCGGCGGCAACAAAGTTAAAAACATCTATTTTTAGCATATTGATCATAGTCAAGGTCACAAGGTCATTGACCATGGTGTCATTTGAAAGAACTTAATCGGTGGAGTATGCATGCTAAATATGAAGTCCCTATCTCCTATAGTTCAAAAGTTATAGCAAAAAGTGTAAAGAGCTATTTTTAGCATATAGGTCACAGTCAAGGTCACAAGATCATTGACCTTGTTGTCCTTTGAAAGGACTTTATCGGTGGAGTATGCATACCAAATATGAAGTCCCTATCTCCTATGGTTCAAAAGTTATCACATAACAGTAAAAAGCTATTTTTAGCATATAGGTCACAGTCATCACAATTTTGACCTTGCTGTCGTTTGAAAGGACTTTATCAGTGGAGTATGCATACCAAATATGAAGTCCCTATCTCCTATGGTTCAAAAGTTATGACAAACAGTGGAAAAAGCTTTTTTTAGCATATAGGTCACAGTCAAGGTCACAAGGTCATTGACCATTGTGTCATTTGAAAGAACTTAATCGGTTAAATATGCATTCCAAATATGAAGTCCCTATCTCCTATGCTTCAAAAGTTATGGCAAAAAGTGTAAAAAGCTATTTTTAGCATATAGGTCACAGTCAAGGTCACAAGATCATTGACCTTGCCGTCATTTGAAAGGACTTTATCGGTGGAGTATGCATACCAAATATGAAGTCCCTATCTCCTATGGTTCAAAAGTTATGACAAACAGTGGAAAAAGCTATTTTTAGCATATAGGTCACAGTCAAGGTCACAAGGTCATTGACCTTGAAGTCATTTGAAAGGGCTCTATTAGTGGAGTATGCATACCAAATATGAAGTCTCTATCTCCTATTGTTCAAAAGTATATGGCAAAGGTATATTGACAACATTTCTTGAGAATGATGGATTTCTGTTCTGATACAATTTACCCTTTCAAATAGCTATAACAATTACCCGGCTGAAATGATTTTACAGACCAAAACATTAGTAGGCTAAAATTCAACTCATATGGAAACGGCCACCACTTGTTGGTGAAGGTATCAAAAATTTTGTCCTATACTCGGCACACAGGGCAAATTGAATAGGTATGGATCTTTTTCGTGCCAGCACCTACGGCTACACGGGGCCTCAATTTATACTGGGATTCAAACCTGGCCTGGACATAAGCAGACACTACAAGTCTAACCATTGTATCTTGATGAAAGTATGTTAATATCTTGTCTAGGCGTTCACTGGGCAGGGGAAAAGTTTGAATTTGAATGTTAAAGACTATATAGGCACTCTTAAATCCAAATTGGGGATGGACTGGGGTCAAATTTTCATGGTTTAATTAAAGAAGAAAAAATGATGGTAAGAGATCTAGCAAAATTGAATAGTGGAGAGCATGATTTGGGGAGTACATGTACATCTGAAAGCATAGAGAAAGGGGTACAACTCTTGTCATTACATTGAGTCACTCAGATTATAAGGTATAATACTGTAGATGTACCGTACTTATTTCCACGGAGTCATAGTTCCATGGAATCTCAATTTCTGTTTAATCCGCAGGTAGAAAATTACATGGATTTCTTAGACTGTTGCTATATTCCTTACATTTATATTAAATGGACAAATTTCTGACCGCGAACATTGTGTTAGTTAATACCACACGGAAAAAGTACTTCTACAGTTTATAATAATTTTGAGAAAGGAGGTGAATTAAACTTTATAGAATCATTGAAATGGCACTATTTAGATTGAGTAAAGTTGAACATTTTTATACATGAAAACAAAAAGTTTTTTAATGTCCCCGTCATAAAATGGCCAATGGCTTCTACTTTTGCCTTGTACTGGCAGTCTGTCATCGCCATTTATGTATTGGAATTATTCGTATTAAATTCATATGATTATATCTGCATGGAAATTGATCTCTTTTGATTATTATATATCATGTATATAACTGCTGGTTATGCAGCTTATCAATTAGCAGGCATGTTTAAGATCAAATATATGGTTATTTTATATTTTGAATAATCTTAGTTACAGTTATTGATTTATTATACAATAATATTTGTTGTTGAAACTTTTAAAGAAAGGATAAAAATAGACAGCAAGGGAACTCTGACTTGACAATTTTATGTTTACACTGTATCCTTTGAGGAGTTATCCCTCTTATCACAGGGTCAACAACCTTAAAAACTATTAATATTCAAAGATGAAGGGGAAAATTTGGCATCAATATACATGATATAAAAAAATGTCTGGTTTTGATACATTTATAACTTTTGGATTGGAATTGATCGTTTTAATTGATGCATTAACATGATTAACATGATTAATTCTCCTGCATAAGTTTGTATTCCTAGTACATTGAAATTTGATTGAGCAAAAAACCCAGCAACTTTATCCCTATAGATGAATAATTATTGTCACATACTAAATTCTGAGACAAGAGTAGATTTACTATCTCTGCCTGACTCCTTTCCCACAGCAATATACAGACTCTGTCAGTGGGGGGTCAGGGGGGATTACAGGCCTGATGACCCCCCGGGGAGACCGATAATGACCCAGTCACAAGTTGACCTGAGCACTGTATGTCAGATGTAGATATAATGTAGATAAAAGGCCCTCCACTGACCAATGTGAACAGATGGCCAGTGTTTAGTGCTATATGGACAGTGTCTGTTATAAATTAGTGTTTACATGTTACTTAATGATTAGGATTTATTAATGGTTTTATGAATTTTCTGATCAGGTAAGTTCATTGTGCATTGTGTCCTCTATTATTATTTTTTTTTAAGGTTATATTCAACACTTCCACTGGTAGCATATCTTTTTCCACAAAAAGGGAGGGGTGATATTCTTGATGTTGGTTGTACTGAAATTAATGAAAAATTTCAAAGCCAAGGGAGGGGGGTCTTTCCAAGAAAAATCATCAGCAGAGCTAATAGAAGTTTTTACTCATTAAAAAAAATTTGATAGAAGAGTGTCTGACAAATCAAGAAAAATTTAAATTTGTTTTTGAGGAATGAATGGATAGGGGGTGGGGTGTGTAATGTAAAGTAAAAATGTACTAATTAAATAACAGTGAACTTATAAAGGTCGACTTAATCCACGTTAAAGATCTGTCCCGAATTGCAGGGTAGCTTTTTGTATATATTTTTCAAAACAAATTATATATTTCAATAGCCTATACTTAATCAGGTTGGATTTTATTTTTATACACAGGATTCTGAAGTTTTTATCGTAAAAAAAATAAATTAAAAAAAAAAATCACCCTTCACTTTTTAGTTATAGGAAAATTTTTTTCTATAATAAAAGTATGAGGGGGGGGGGAGTTAATATTCTGTTGAAATAGGGTGGCATTTTAGTCTACAAACACATATTTAATCTAGTCAGGATATAAAATATGGGTAATCAATCATTGTTCAATTTTTGATTGTCGATCATCTTTAAATAACAATGACTGTTCATATATTAATTTAAAATAAGGTGATAAATTAAAAAAAATCAGGTTTTAATAAAATAGAGTTTAATTGTGCAAGAAACATTTTTTATTTAGGCGATGAATATAAAATTTTTAAGGTTTTATTAAAACAGAATTTTGTGCAAGAAACATTGTTATATTTAAAATTAGGTAATAAATAGAAAATTTCAGGTTTATTAAAATAGAATTAGAATTTTGTGGAAGAAACTATTCTTGAACACGAGAAAGCCAGAGTTTTAGTTATACCCTGTATACTCGTGTTGTTAAGAGGTGCCTAAGGAGATGTGATTTTTGTTAAAAAAGATTGTTTTTGATTTTCTGGAATAATTCCCATGTAAAGAAGCAGCCTCAAGATATATCAGACTAATAGGGATTTGTTAAAATGTCTGAAATGTTGGGAAAAATAACACTGTGTACCATGTGTACTGAACTAATTATCTGATTATTTGATAGGCTTAGTTAAGAGTTCATGTTGTGTAAGTTGGGGGGGGGTCCAAATTTATCAGTTGTCAGAAAAAGTGTGAAAATAAGTTTAACACAAAATGATCCCTACATACATACATGTCTATTTATTAATTAAATTTATTGTTTAGTATATATTATTATTATATAATTACATTCCATCTGTTTCCTTCAATATGTTTAATTTATCTCTAAAGCACACATTAATTTGAAATTAAATTGCCCCTGTTACTGTCTGAGAAGTATGAGAAGCTTGTCATTATATGATTAAATCAGGGTTGTTAGAGACAGCCAGGAAACAGGAGATCTAAACACAATGGACAGGAAAAGACTTCAAGAGTCCTGAACAGTTAGCTTATGTGGTCTGGGTTGTGATAGCTAAGCTTGTTTATCAGTGGTAGTTTGTGTAGACCTATAATTAGTGTGTCACGGGTCATTGTTGTGTCGACCCCCCAGGGTATGGAGATTTCTATAAAACAACTTGTAACACCTGACCAGGGGGGTTAAAATGGATTAAAATGTTAATGATATAATACAGGAATTTACTTAGAAAGGGCCTCATCAAAAATGTAAACAAAAAAATTGTGGTTTAATATGAGAAAAAAACAATTTTTCCATGTCATAGGAATGTGTTGGAAATATTTTGCAGTTCTTGAGTGCAAATTGATTCATTAGGTTTGAAATTTTTTAAATGATATGCAGTTGATTTTTTTAAGTTGCCTAATTTGAATGTTTGTTGTGCATACAAATCCGACTATGGCATTCCTGATATAATCCAAAACAAAAAATTTAATCATTAGGATTTACATAGCTGAGGTGCATTAATAGGAATGTTAATCCTCGTTTCATTATTGTCGACGCAGTAACAGGGTGAGATTTTTTCTTACAGCACAGAAGAGTACCGACCGATGAAGACCGATGACCCCGAAGCTTTCTCCGAGACCGAGGTCCGGAAGATGAAGAAGCTCTCCAAGCGACGCACCCTACTCTTCATCCCCAGCTTCCGCAAAAAGAACATCAAGTTGTTCCGAGAAGACGGCGCACCCCCCAAGGACAGCGACTCCGGTCGAGACAGCGATTCCGTGAACAGTGGCGATTCCAAGGGAGATAACCTCTCCATCCGCAGCAGCCTGAGTTCCCTTGACAGCGGGTTTGGATCCACCACCAACTCCTCCTCCAGTCTGATGTCGCGCGTGGTGTCCGACATTCCTGACGTCATACGAGAGGAGTCCAGAGGCCGCGCCCCCATTGCTTCACCGGAGGACGATTCCCTGCTGGAGGATCCCAGTGATGGTACTGGGGCGGATCCTGTCTCCACAGTACGGGAGGGTGGGGATTCCCGAGAGGACTGCTCTGCCTCGTCCTTCCACACACTGAGTGACTCCTGCAGCTGTGATTCCTGTGGTGACTCTTCTAGTGATTCTGAGGGGGAGGATCGTGTGAGGGTGGACGATTCCTCGGATTCCGATTCAGACCTGGCGTCAGTGACCCGTACTGTTACTCCCACATCCCAGCGAAGTACCTCCACAGACTCTGACAGTGACTCGGACCTTGACGAGTGCTCCAGCTTCTTTACACAGGACAAGTGCTTTCTTCCTAACGCTTCAGCGAAGCCCAGGAACCCAATTGTACATACAAATTCTGTAAATAGAGGAAACCGTATAAAGACGAATGGCAGCGTCATCAAGAGGAAGTCCCACCAACAGCTAGTGACGCCCCTACCTACGTACGCACGGAGCCATGCCCTGCCAGCTTCTGCAGCCAAAGCCAGCAGATCCTCCAGCTTCAACTCCGACAGTGACAGTGCTTTCAAGTCCTTCACCTCCTGCAGTGACTCTACCGACTCTGTTAACTCCAGTAGGACTATGACCTGTGATGTGGTACAGAGGAATCGGATCTCCTACTGTGAGCCAGATGTCATCCCCAAGCCTGTGCCAAAACTCAGCAGAAGTGAGAGCGAGAGACGAAGCAGGTCCAAACTCCGCAGTCCCATTCTACAAGTCCACAACCGGAGCCTGAACCGAGAAGTCCTGAAGAGTGCGGCAGTGGTTCCCGATCTTCCACCGGACTCCTCCAAGTCTCCGGCTGATATCCAGCAGTCCATGCAGAACACAGCGTACTGGGTCAGCAACAGTCGATACAGCAGCGATCCGGACGACAGCACCCAGCTCCTGAAGGACAATCCCGAGGTCAGCGAGCGGGAACTGTGTCAGGAAATCATCGGGATCTACTTCGGCGAGGACGACAGCGACAGTTCCCTGTCTTCTTCCTGTCTGGACAACTCGCTGGACGGCCAGGATTCCACGTCATCGTCGTCATCCTCGTCAGATTCCGCTTACCTCCCACGCACCCTGGAGACGAACCTGGACGATTTCTCCACAGCCGTCTACATCCCAGCGAAAGCTTCTGAGGCCCACACCCGCAAAATCAACAGTGGTAAGTTTTCAAGATTTCTTAAGTGTGCCTGAGTTATCAATTGAGAAAAAAATGTAATTTAATATGGGAAAGAATGTCATTAGTTTGACCTTAGGCAGTCATTATTTTAAAAGGTGTTTAAGATGAAATTTTTTTTTTTTATGATTGTAGAAGAAAAATAATAGAGAATTAGAATTTATAATAACACATATTTTTACCATGTACCTTTTCAAAAAAACGAGATTTTTATTAAAGCATTCAATTTATGATTAGTTTGCATTTCAAAGAATCATCGAGTTGTGAGCTGTTTGTCAATGAATACAAAAATGGAATACTCCATTGGTACCTTCAATGACTAATAAGCTGTTGTTATTTTTAGCCAAGGTGATGAAGACGAAGGCGGCAGTGAAATCCAAACCTGAGCCCCAGAACCACAGGAGCCAGGGAGGGACCAGACTCTGCTGTGAAGAGAAGCCCGTACCCAAACTGGTAAGTTTATAATCAGTTATTTTGTAAACAAATGAACAACTCCTATAATTTATGAATTAATTGAAAAAGAAATTGAACAAGCCATTATAAGGATTGATAAGAAAAAGTTCCTCTAAGAGTTTATCTTAATGTTTTCCTTTTTGAATACATGTGTTGCAAGTTGGATGTTTTTATCATTGGACTTTAAACCTTATGAGAAATGTGTACCCTTAAGGTTTGGCCATTGCTGCTTAAACATCAATCATTGTGGTCATGGCTTTTTAATTTACATGTACATACCAAGTTAATAACTACAAAAATCAGTCCTTGTTGTCATTGTTTTTTAGTCTCTTCACCAAGTTTTTTTTTTTAATTTACAGAGTGAGCAGGAAGTGGATACGATCACCAAACTCCACACGATCTGTAATGGCCAGCGAATCGTACGCTACCTCAACATGTCCGAGCTTCCCATGGTGCACTTCCCTCGTAAGTCTTCATCTGTATTCCGCTTTTCAACCTGAATCAAATGGGCTTTGGAAACTTCCTAATCGTTATTATTTTGTGGTAGAATTAGATCTAGGAGTGATATTTTTATTGTAAAATTAATGGCTGCAGAGATGTATATATGAACAGTATTAGTAACTTGAAAAGGAAAGAAGTGAACCATTTCTTATTAAAACTGTCCTTCAAAGATAGAGCCAGAATTTTTTTTGGCATATGAAATATTTCTGCCTGTGTTTAAATTATTTTAAGGAAGAAAGTTTTAAGTAAGTTTTCATTCTGTTTCAGCTCCAAAGCGAGCCAGCCGGATCATCTGGAACCCGGATCTGGAGGAAGTGTCTCTGAGTCACCACTCCCCACGCAACACCCCCACCAAGCCGCGGTCAGCCCTCCGACAGGTACAGCCTCAGTAATATCTCAGTAGTTATAATATCTCAGTAGAAATTGTATCTCAGTAGTTATAATATCTCAGTAGGTATAAACTCAAAGTCCGCAGGACAATATCCAAGGAATGATTCTTTGCATGAAGTCATCATCAGAACTATATCTTAAGGCCTAACACGCTTAAAGATGATTCATCCTTTGAAATCTGTGTAAATATTAAAGAGTCACATATTAAATAAGTTAAATATTTTTTATATGAAAGTGTTTTTATCAAAAAGAGGATAAAGTGATACTTTATAGAAGTTGTTGATTACAGGCTGTGTAGTAATTTCTGTTTTTTATCTGTTACAGAGACCCAGTGGATACACTTTCCCGTTCCTTGAAGACAAGCCCTCCCCTATCGTCATCACCAGGGTCCGCAGGAGCAAGTCCATGTCCCGGGCGTCCAAAGAGTGGCCGTGGTAGAAACTTTACCGAGCCCAAAATCTGAGGCCTTCAAAGAGTGGCCATGGAAGAACTAGAAACTTGACGGAGTTCTAAGTCCGAGCCTTCAAAGAGTGACCATGGAAGAAACTGTACTTGAGTCCTATGTCCGAGGCCTCTGAAACATCGCCATGGTAAAAACTTTTCCGAGACCAAAGTCCGAGGCTTTCAAAGAGTGGCTGTGGTAGCTGATACCTTAGGGAAGACAACTTTGCTGTGTGTAAGCCGGCATAAACAATTTCCTTACGGGAGCCAAGAAGTGAACTTCCCACTACCCCATGTCCTTGTCAGTATCGGCGTTCTCGTGCTGTGTGTAGATCACAAGTCGTTAATTCCCGCACAAAGATGTGCAGTCTTCTCTTGAGAACTTAAGTGACCTTCATAAGGAGAAATGTTTGTTTTCCGAATTCCGAGACCAGTGCATCCAAGGAAATATAAAGAGAGAAATCGCGAAAGAAGGACTTTGTGAAATAAAGGCATTGTTCCATGTCAGAGGAGTTTTGGGTTTTTTTATTGTTTTTAGTTGTTTTGTTTTTAGCCTTTTGATGTTTTATGGTTTATCATATTGTCATGCTTAGAGGTTTTATGCATTTGTTACTGAAATGTTTTTAGAGAAAAAACGATGATTTTAGCTGGTGTACTTAACTCTTCAAGACAAGTCTTACTTTTTTACTTTCGTCCAGTAAGATTTGTCATTGAAGGGTATTTATTTTTTTTTACTTTCATGTCATATGGTTGCAAGGCAAATTTTATGAATCAGTGATGATTGTTTTTTTGATAAAAAGTATTGTATGTACATGTTATGTTTGAAGTCCCTATAAACTGTTTGATAAGATATCGTAGAACTTGTGAGCTTTCTGATTGGTCAAAAAATATCTAGGGAGGGAGATAATTAAGTCTGATATTATTTCTTTGTTTGTTGATATTAAGGAAGTGTAGCCCCCTGTATTTGTAGTTTGACTTCCTGTAGATGTAGTATTGTATGTTTCTGTTTTTTTATAAGTTTTTCTCAGCAGTATTTTTTGTTGTTTGCTCAAAATCAAACAGTCTCAGTATTGATATATTTTTTTTGTCAGGAGCTTGCCTTTCATGTGTTTTTTATCATTCACTTTCTCCAGTCAGGTCATATCCATTTGAGATTAATCTTGTATTTTTGGACGAATTTTACAGCGAATTTGTGCAATATATTTATTTTTTAACCTTCAATACGATGAATGGTCTCCATGTCTGGTTAATAACACCTCCCCATCTGACCATTGATTACTAACACCTCCCTCATTGTAATATTGTCCCTTATTTATTCAATGAATACAAACACACAAAACTAGTCCTATTTGTACATAACAAATTGATATCAACATTTTGTAAATAAATCAGTGAAACAGATTTTGAGAGTTTTTGTTTTCTTTTAATTTATACATATATAACAAAAGTGTATAGTACAATATTTAGTGCAGGAAAACTGTGTATCATACTAAAGGAAATGTAAAAAGAAGGAACACCATAAAGGCATATTGAAAATTAAGGTAAATCAATTGTTAGATAAGAGAGACAACTCTTACTGATATTAATGACTATAGAAACAGGTGCCCTACAAGAAATAGTGTGTATGAATAGATCTGTAGATTAACACACAGAGTAATGAAATTGAGTAATTACGCTTGGATTTTACAGTACTTTTTACTTCTCTTTAGGTTAAAGTAAATACAAATCACACTTTAAACCAAACAATGCTATTTAATTATAAGTGGATTAAAGAAAGATATAGGAATGCCAATTTTTGCTGAAAAATTCATTCACAGAGGCCGTATGTTTTAAGCTAACATGAAAGCTCAGCTAAAATTAAGCTCAAGTGAGCTTTTCTGATCACATTTTGTCCGTCATCTGTCTGTAAACTTTTCACATTTTCTACTTCTCAAGAACAACTTTGCTAATTTTAACCAAACTTGGCACAACACATCCTTGGGTGAAGGGGAGTTTAAAATGTTAAAATACTAGTAAAAGGCCAAGTCTCCTTCCCAAGGGGAGATAAGAAAAGACAAAAATAGAAATCTTAAGAACCTCTGGATAAGAAAAGCTGAAACTTATGTGGAAGCATCCGGGGATAGTGTAGATTCGAAATTCATCAAATAATGACCCTGGGGGGAAGGACGGGGCCACAATATGCAATCCAAATTTTAGCTGCAGATTTGTACCTCTCCGAAAAAATAATTATATTGATTGACCGGAGAGCTACAGTGCCACCCATTTAAAAAACTGCATATTTATTGCCGCACAAAAAAGTGCGCTCATTTCTTGATTAATTCTTCCAAATTCTTACCTCAATTGCAAAAAAGGGAAGATTTTAAAAAATCCCTATCTCCTCTATCAAGTATTCTCGTAGTTACATCTGATCGAATCGGACCGAATTATCTTTGAAACCAAAATTGCTGTATGAATAAGCAAAATGTTCGATGATTACAATATCAGAGTCATGGAGGACTATTAACAACAATTATGAGGAATGTTTGGTTGTGGAAACAGTGAAAGAATATCTTTGGAACATACGGTTAGTAATATTTTGAGATTACATTTTAAAAACATGGAGAAATAAATCGAGAACCGAGCGCACTTTTTCGTGCGAAAGAAATATACAGTTTTTTCAATGGGTGGCAAACTCTCCGGTCTATCAATATATTATTTAGAGTAGGATTGGTCTATCAATACAGATCTGCAGCTATCCAAATTTTACATTGAAATACATAGGAATATCATTTTTTTTAAAAATTGTCTTTTCAAGAACTACTGGACTAGAAAAGCGGAAACATGTCGAGGCCCCACTGCTCATAATAACTAGATGTACACTTAGCATGCTTATATTGGTTACTTAATACCCATAGGCAGAGTTCCCCCCCCCCCACCAAAAAAATGCTTTCGACTAATCAGTTCCAACAATAGAATTTTGTTCCTATTTGCAGAGGACATGATGTTCATAATTTTGAAAAATCTTTTTCGTTCGTTTCTCTCTCAGATACATGTGTGAGCCGATCGAGGATAGAGAGTGCCTGAGTGGGTCCTGCAATAGGAAGAGACTGTATAAACAGAGGTCCCGTGCCCTAATATATAGGTGCTGGCACGAAAAAGATCCCTCCCTCCTCAATGGCCCTAGGTATAGGACAAAATTTGTAGCTCTCCACCAGTATATAAGTGATGGCGTCTCCATATGAGTGAAACATTCTATACAGGGACTTTAAACAACATCAACATAATAAAAATATGGTAGCAGAAAGAAAACTTGTTTCTGGTCCACATGCTCGTTTTTTCCTGCCACTGCTTTTACAAATAAGTAGAGCTACAATCTTCTCAGAGACTCTTTTTAAATAGTTGCGGTGATGTGTTGGTAATGCTGGATTCCAAATTCAGCTGCAGTTTCTTCCAAGACTTTTGGCAATTCGAGGGAAACCCAGAAGTACATTTCTTTATTTTGTTTACTTAAGGAATCACTGTCTAGTTAGTATAGTAAACCGGGGCATCAACAATAGTGGGAAACATGAAATAGTTTGCATAACGGGCGAAATGTAGACATAGATTTACATTACACGAGGACTCCCATGCCGATTTCAAAAGTCCTCACCCATTGGTCAACGTCGAACACAAAGGCAGTAGTATTTGGCCTCCTTTGCGTCAGACACAGAGACAGATTTGCACGAGATTTGCATGCATATTAGGACTCCTTAGCTCTTGACCTTTCGACATGCCTAATTTACATTTCGGTAGAATTATCCAGAAATCGAATCCGCTTTCTTTCAATGAGTTATTACAGAGGGGAATTAGAAATTAGAAATGGAAATATATAATTTGATTATTTCTAGTTTTTTAAACACTTCAAATAGCCAATAAACTACCTATAGGCGTCCTTTAAAAACAAAGTAAAAACTGTTGACAAAAGGAATTGGATCCGCGCCTGGAGCCGTCACCCCGTGCGCTGTCAATGCTTTATAAAGAACCGCTTAAATTACGTTTGAAAGATTTCACGCAATGCACCCTTTTTGTTGTCTTTTTAGGCAATGATGGTAATTAATAGGTATATAAAGTCTTAAAATACCAATCTACTTTAACCAAGCTTTTTAAAATTTTAAATAATACGACCTCTTGAACATGATTAGAACAAAACAACGTTGGAAACAAAGCCGTTGTTCCGGGGCTTTAACACGGTTTCTCTCCCGTGTTGGGGGTAATATACAGTAACAGCTGATTATTTAGGTGCACTGTGAGTTTAATCGCGGACCGTGTCGTTAGTGGGAGTAGCCCCGTGGACCAATGCTGCCATTTCCTACTCTGACGTAATATGGAATTGAGAGTGGACATAGTTTTATTATAGTATACTAAGTGCAATATTTGTTAGTATAAATAAAAGATGTCTGCCACCGCAGTAGCAAGAACTGTAAGTAATTCAATACTATTTTTAAAAAATCTATAGAAGTAATTTTATTTTTTCTAGCTATATTTTTTGTTTTAAATCCATAGAATAATAAAAATGCATTCGGCTCATCTAATGTATATAATGTTAATCACGCATGCGCATACAAAATTGATGGGGGATGAGAAGATGTAAAAGCTTAATTGAATTGAATGAAACGTAGAAAACCAACAGCTATACGTGGTCAAAGGGAGAAGAAATAACATCCCATGAAATACCCCTCTCCATCTCATTCTCCATCGCCCCCCCCCCCCCCATTTTTAAAGGTTTGTTAAAACAGTACTGTAGATATATCACATATACTGGATAACCCCCTCCAGACCCTAAACTTTTGGGTTGCTAAGTAGTTTCTAGTAGTACAATTCTCAGTTAGCCTTGGACTTTCAGTAAGGCGTGGTATTGACGTCGACGTTACATAATTAGCGTCTGAAATTTACACAGCTTTTCATTCACTGTTGAAATATACATTCCGGCGAATAACAACGAGTGTACCAATGATCCAATGGTAACGTTTCGTACGACAGAGAGATTGGGTTAAAGTCATCTCATCGTTGTCAACAACAATTTAAAGTTGCTGATGTTATTAATTTCTCAATCAGTGAGAATCTATGTCGTCATTTGAGAGGTGCTAATTACGTAGTGTCCAGAAAGTCACGGCCTGGTGAAAGTCCAAGGTTAACTGAGGATTGTACTATTATTAGATACGTCCAAAATATCATATCTGACGTTTCCGGGTTCCTTTCACGATTTGGAGGATTTTTCCTGGCACGTAAAATATTAAAATCGTGAAAAAATCCTGGAAAACCTCAGATTATTAGATATACATGCATGTTATACATGTATATAGATATAACACTCTCCCTCCCTCCTTCTCTCCCCAACCCCCCCCCTCTCTCTCTCTCTCTCTCTCTCTGGATCCATGCCTCTTAAAGTCACATTCTTTCTTTAACTTTTTTCATTTTCATATTTATGTTATTTTTGGACGTTTAAAGATTTTTTCAATATGTATCAATATGTGTAAATATTTTCCTGTAAAAAATCTTAAACTACCCTAAAAATGACCAAAGTATGTCATAAAATGTATATTAAACGACTGATTACCGGGTAAGTCCCCGATTAACGTTTGGGGATTAATTCTGAGTTGTTATATAAATGTTCTCTGTGTGTGTATTAAATGATTTAAAAGCCTCCAAGGTTTTGGATTATAAATCACAAAAAACAATGACATGCTACTCAGATCGTCAACCTTTCACAGATGTATCCCCCCCTGTCCCCCTTATTGTATATCAAATTATTATTCCTCTTTCAAATCATAAAACGTTCCTTTAAAATATCACTTGAAATCATATTTTTCAAAACCGACTCTTTACTTTTTGATCATAATTAAGTAACTTATTTCAGTATACATGCCAAGTTTAGGGAAAACCTCTCTTTTGGGTATTTGTTTAGGGGCCGTCAAAATACAGGTACATTTACTAAATGTTTTGAATAGATTGGAAAGTGTTAGTTTTTGGCCTATTAAAGCAAATTTTCCAATTACGTGTACTGCAATTTATCATTTGCATTATACGAACGTTAGAAGACTCATTTAATCACCTGGTTTCCTCACAGGGCGCGGATCAAGAAATTTTCTCCAGGGGGGCACCCTGGTCCAAAAAAAAAAATCAAACTCAGAAATTTCTGACAAGCAAAAGAAAAAAAAACTCCCAAACATGAAAACTATTTCGGGGGAGAGGGGGTGGGGGTTAAAACTTCAAACCAGGGGCTTTTCATGCCAAATGCACAAAGATAATTTATGTGTTTTCTAGGATGGGTCGGTGTTTTCTAGAGGGGATGGGAAAGGTCACTTTTATCTGGTTTAGCATATACATTTAAGGGTACCTCTGCAAATTTCACAGGGGGGGGGGGGGGGGGGGGGGGGGGGGGGGGAGCGGACCCCCCCCCCCCCCCCCCGCATGTAAAAAGACATATGTATGCATGCACCAACCGACTAAGAACTACTTTACGGTGATGGAGGGTTATTTATTGTGAACAATAGTTAAAAGAGGAAATCACAATATGAATACTCGTATAATTTTCAATTTCTTTGTTTTTTTATTTACCTGTTTAATTATTGCTAATAATTAAGTTTTAATGAACGGAATGTTAATTTCTTTAAGATCTATATATCGACATGCATGTATATCAATGTATAAATGATTGATACTGAAATAGATATAGTTATGAATGACGATTATAAATTATAATTTTTCAATATTTTCTGTGTGTTTATTAACACCATTATTATTATTATTATTACCATCAATTATATTTTGCGCAATATCAATGAATAATTATATATATCTTTTGTTTCTATGCCTAGTAAAGTCCTTTACATAAATATACAATCACTTAGAATTACATGGGTTTAACTCTTAATCCGCCATGCGGTTTTTAAAAATTCCGTGCACTTCGCATGTTTGTTCATTCATAAACTGTCAAATTCAACTCAATTTGAAAGACAAAGGTGATATCTGAGACAACCAACGCTATGTGATCTACAAAGAACACCTGTCATTAAGAACGGTACTATATGTAACCCCTGACCTCAGAAGTTTGAATTATAGAACATAACCTGTTTGAATTATTTAAAAAAAAATCGATAAAAAATAAAATAAAATGAACAGTCACAAATAATTATTTTCAGTTCTTCTTTTCTTAAACGTTCTATGTTATTATCTGTGTTTATCTGGAAATTTTCTACAAAAATGTGAAATAAATTCAAGGGTAATGAGGAATTTTCTGTATGCGTCTTAATTTGGAGATACCCCAACCAACACACACGCACACAAATAAGCCGATTATCCCTTGTTTTTTTCTACCTTTTTCAATGATATGTACATGATAAGCCAGAACAATGTTGATTGATTTTCCAAAAATTTTTTTTTTTAAATTAACTTACTAAAAAAAAAATCGTAATATTCGATTGCGAATCTTACGGAGAGGAACTAGTAAGTTGTAAGAACTTGTTTCTAATCCATTTGATTCTTTCAATAAAATCATGTTCAAAACAATCTTATGTGCTTCTTTGATAATAAAAAATAATATACTTGCATACATGCATTTATAAAATAAATATTTTAGATTTGAGTATGGACATTTAAGGGGGTTGTGGTGGGAAGGGGGAGGGTAGGAGTGTGACGAAAAGCCCTACTTCCTAACACCGTTTACTACGTGAAAGTTAACAACTAATTTCATGTGTAAATTCAGACCATCCCCGGACCGACCACTAACCTCTATATCGACATTTTAGAGGGTGGTGGCGGGAAGTTGAGGGTAGGGTGGGGGTAGTATGAAGAAATGCTCCAGCGCCCCTGGTCACTACGTCAAAGTTAACATGTATATTACTAAATTTATGTATAAATTCAGACCATCCCCGGACCGACCACTAACCCCTACATGGATGCGGAGGACCAGTATGCAGACGACAACTTCAGCACGACCTCCACCCAGCTGGACACCTACTCCAATTACACGGTCAACACGGAGACGCCCATGTCGCGCCTCAGTCGGTATGGATTCAAGATCCGCTCCTCGTCAAGTTTTCCCAGCATCCTTAATCTTTACAGCGAACCAATCAGCGAGGAGATGGTAAGTAGAAATAGGAAATGGACTTAATTACCACATACCGAATTTGTTCTCAACTTCCGTACTTACAGTAACAAAATTCTGTGTTGATTACAATATATATAAATAATTGTGGATTTCATATTAAGAATGCCACTGACTACCATTAATAGAATTAAAACAAAGTGGAACTCTTTTTTTCTTAGCCAAGAAAGAAAGAAAAGAAAAAGAAGAGAACAAAAATCCGCTATTCGGAGAGTGTTCGATCTAAAGGTGCTAACCTGGAAAACTTAGCGTCAGAATCCCGGCGGACAACAGAGGTGAGGATTAATTGTTCTTAGTACTATTCGCAGTTAACCTTGGACTTTCAGTTAGGCGTGATAGTACATTTCTCAGTTAACCTTGTACTTTCAGTAAGGCGTGATAGTAAAATCTCAGTTAATCTTGGACTTTAAGTAATGCGTGATAGTACAATTCTCAGTTATTTTTGGACTTTTAGTAAGGCAGGCAAGTACAATTCTCGATTATCCTTGGACTTTCAGTAAGGCGTGATAGTACAATTCTCAGTTAACCTTAGACTTCTAGTAAGGTGTGACATTCTTGACGTTACATAACAAGCGTCTAAAAATTTACACAGCCTTTCATTCATTGATGAAATACTGAATATACATGATATAGAAATTCGGGCGAATAACAACGAGTGTACCAATGATCCAATGGTAACGTCTCGTACGACAGAGAGATGGGGCTTAAGTCGTCTCATCGTTGTCAGCAACAATTTAAAGTTGCTGATATGATGCTATCAATTTCTTAACCAATGAGAATTTGACAGACACTAAGTATATAGCTTCGAGAATTAAATGGCACTCCTCATTGAAAGTCCGAGGATGACAGAGAATTTTACTAAAATTTGCACCGTAGTGTGTAAGGTAAAATGTAAGATATATAATCTTTAATTGATTTTGTTCTACGTACTATTATTGATAGAATTCTTTCAGTTGTGTTTTAAAAAGAAAAAGGGTAGATAATTGAATCTAATTGTAGTTGAATGATCAATCGGCACTCCTCGGCTGACCGCTTCACTCCCTACAAATCTCGAATGTGATTGGCGGAGGAATATGCATAAAATCGTTGCATTTCTCCGAAAGTCATCATGGCGGATTATTTTAAAGAAAGCAGAGTTAATGTTTTTTAAATTTTTCCTTTAAAAGGGATTAATTTAATAGGTGGGATTCACAGAAATGCTCCAAAAACAATTATCGAATAATTTTGTGATACGTTCAATCAGCTGTTTATTCAACTGTATTCTAAACCATGACCAACAAGATTAAAAATGGTTGTATTGATTAACTCAGAAAAGGACAGATAATACAAACAGAATTTTATCAACATTCTTGAAAATAACAACTTAAATTATGATTATATGAGTAAAATATATAACTTAAACATTTTTTTTAATTTTTCATTCAAAATTTTACAATTAATGGATTTAAATCTTTAAAGTGACAAAAAGTTATATAGATTAATGAGGTGGTTGCAGAAAGGTGTGATTTTGAACATCGTGAAAAAGTTAACAAATTCTTGAATATTTTAGAAATTTTATTATTTCAATCATTTACAAACCAAATAAGTCAAATGATATACTGAGTATAACAATCCAGGCATCCGTTTTGTCGTACCATATGTCCTTAAGAGTACTAGTATATGTATGTCCTTAAGGAAGCTCTAAACACTGCACACAAAAGAGCTCTATACTTATAGGGTAGTTTTATACGGTGATCGCCCTTAGAAGTATGATTAATTATTATTTAAAGTTAATTACACGTTTTGGAAAAGATTAAAATATTTTTAGCATTACATAAGACCAAGAACAAGTAATTGAATTCACTATTTTCACTAATTTCCCCGATGTAAGGTAACAGCAGTGACTTCTGCTCACAAGTAGTCATTAATTGTCTTTGAATATTTTTCCTGCGGAAATAAGGCAGGAGTCCTATATTTTAAATGAATGAAAATGTCTTAATATCCACACCTTTATATGCTTTTTTTTCTCTACGACCAAAAAGCAGTTTTCTGTTAGTGAGTAGAGCTTCCATAACAAATTGTGATCCCCCCCCCCGGTATATTTCGTCACCACCCAGGATAATTAAAGCCCGAATACTAGTGAAAGTTCTTCAATTTCCGGTGTTTAAAGAGGAATTCAGTGATAACACGTGTAAATATCTTTCTAGAGCAGCGACAATTTTATATTTCATTATCGCGTGTCAGGCTCAATCGAAAGTCCCCGGACACAAAGAAGGTGCTTTAAACTAGTTCCTCGAATCTGTCTTATCTTAAAATTGAGTTGGTCTTTTTTGAATTATGTATGGGGTCGTAAATTATTTGCGCTAATGAAAGGAAAATTACATAAACACAGGTTTATTCACAAACCATGTAAACGGAAAAATATTTCATTGATTTTGTCTTTTGGTTTAGAAATTGCTATTGTAAACAGACCATTCTCTAGACCTCTAGATTCATCAAGGAAGCTTATATATTATTCGTTTTATTTCGGATATCGTCTCATCTCCGCCATTGTTTCTGTTTATAAAATTCAAATGACTTACACAATGGCTTTAAACAAAGGCATTTTATAGGAGCGTAAATTTAAACAAATTAACTCATGAGTGAAATAAGTGAATGACTTGACAATGTATATGTACATGGTTCCACAGCGGAGGAATATCGCGCGCTTATCTGAGGATGTTACCTCGACTCAGGATAGAAGGGAATACGTGGTAAGTTGTGGTAAGGTCATGGGAATGTTTGTGGTAAGGTCATGGGAATGTTTGTGGTAAAGTCATTGGAATGTTTGTGGTAAGGTCATTAAGATATGTGGTAAATATAATATTAATAGTTTGCGTACGTTTATTGGGATATATGTGGTAAGACGTGTGGCGCATTACCGGGGTATGGGGAATTTTGGTGTTTTTACGGAACAAACTTTAAAAACAAAAGATTTTTTTTCCAAGCAGGAATTTTTCATTAAAGTATAGTTAATTTATTTTCAATCTTAATTGCGAGGGAAAACTTAATTATATAAAACGTAGATAAGAAGTAAGATTGAAAATTACTAGCAATAAACAGCACAAGTAATATTTCACGCAAATGCGAATCCAGTAGTATTTTTCCTATTGAGGAAAGAGGAGCTAGAGGGTTATTTTTCTGAATTTGATAACACTGCTGTAGATGGGTACGAAATACCTGGAGACCCTTTCTTCTGCTGGATCCGCCCTTGTCAAGGCAGTGGTTGCAGGGTTTTGATGGACTCTTTTTTCCTTTACAGTATTTGTACTTTGGGTATGGGACTTCAAATTTTTGCTTTATATATGTTCAGCGTACAAGTAGCTTAGGATTTTAAAATTGACACAGTAGTTCAGTAATAGTATTCTAAAGCATTCTGACGAGAAACGTAGAAAAAGAAAACCATGCACAAGTACGTTAAAGTATACATAGGTGGGACGGATTTGATATTTTATGTTGTAGAATCGTGCAATCCGAATCGAGGCTGTGGCGCGCGAGCAGATGGAAAGGTATGAAAAATACATCAAGAAACTCCAAGACAAAGTGGAGAAACAGAGGGAAGACAGAAGAGTTAGCGAGGAGGAAATGTCCAGGAGAATCAAGGCCCGCGAGGAGGAGGTACTGATAGAGAGAGAGAGAGGGGGAGGGGGCAGAGAGAGAGAGGAGGAAATGTCTAGGAGAATCAAAGCCCGGGAGGAGGAGGTACTGATAGAGAGAGAGAGAGAGAGGGGGGGAGGGGGCAGAGAGAGAGAGAGGAAATGTCCAGGAGAATCAAGGCCCGCGAGGAGGAGGTACTGATAGAGAGAGAGAGAGAGGGGGGGGGAGAGAGAGAGAGGAAATGTCTAGGAGAATCAAAGCCCGGGAGGAGGAGGTACTGATAGGGGGAGAGATAGAGAGAGGGGCAGAGAGAGAGAGAGAGAGGAGGAAATGTCCAGGAGAATCAAGGCCCGCGAGGGGGAGGTACGTAAAGGGAGAGAGAAGAAAGAGGGGAGGTACGTAAAGAGAGAGAGAGAGAGGAGAGAGACAGAGAGGAGGAATGTCCAGAAGAATCAAGGCCCGCAAGAGGAGGTACGTTTAAGAGACAGATGGAGAGACAGACGGACAGAGAGGAGGAAATGTCCAAAAGAATCAAGGCCCGCAAGAGGAGGTACTGATCCGCGATAGAGAGAGAGAGGGGGGGAGAAAGAGGAGGTACCTAAAGAGATAGATGGAGAGAGACAGAAAGAGAGAGGAGGTACGTAAAGAGAGATAGAGAGAGAGAGAGAGACAGACAGACAGACAGACAGACAGAAAGAGAGAAAGAGAGACAGAGAGAGAGGGGATAGGAGAATCAAAGCCCGCGAGGAGGTACGTAAAGGGAGAGATAGAGGAGAGAGAGAGAGAGAGAAAGAGACAGAAAGGAGAAAGTGAGAGAGAGAAGGAGGAAGTGCCCAGGAGAATCAAGGCCCGAGAGGAAGAGGTACGTCAAAATAGGAGGACCTCTAATTGGAACTAAGCCGAAACCACCCACCCCCCAATCTTGATCCCTAACGCTCGACTGTAAGATCTCAGAGAAAGGGGATGTTTTTTATGCGCCCGGATCGAAAGATCCGAGGCGTATATTGTTTTTGTCCTGTCTGTCTGTCTGTCTGTTTGTCTGCAAACTTTAACCTTCGCCATAACTTTTGAACCATGAATGTTAGAGACTTTATATTTGGTATGCCTACTCCACTAATAAAGCTCTTTCAAATGACACCAAGATCAATGATCTTGTGACCTTGACTGTGACCTCTATGCTAAAAATAGAGGACTTTTTGCAAACTTTAACCTTCGCCATAACTTTTGAACGAAGAAAGATAGAGATTTAATATTTGGCATGCATACTCCACTAACGAAGCCCTTTCACATGACACCAAGGTCAATGACCTTGTGACCTTGACTGTGTCTTATATGCTAAAAATAGCTTTTTTTTAAACTTTCACCATAACTTTTGAACCATGAAAGATAGAGACTTCATATTTGGTATGTATACTTCACTAATCAAGATATTTCAAATGACACCAAGATCAATGACCTTGTGACCTTCACTGTGACCTTTACGCTAAAAATATGTTTTTTGAATTTGTTGCCGCCGGGCGCATAGTGTTTCACAAACACATCTTTTTTTTTATATAAAAGGAGGACCTTGAATACTAGTAAGAACTAACCACTCCTATTGAACCCTCTCTTATCCTACGCAGTTATCTATATATTTTATTATAGTCACAAACACGACAGACATGTAAAGTTTATGATAATAGATTGTTACTTTATTTGTAAACTTCCAGCTGTACAGGTTTGTTTTGCTGTAGGAGCGGTTACGAATGAGCATCAAGAAGAGACCGAAACAGGAACTAGTCAACGAACTGCCGTATGTCAAACGCCTCCCAAAGTCCAAAATGAGAAAGGTAGGCCCAATATAGAGATAACAATTATACTGCCGTATGTCAAACGTCTCCCAAAGTCCAAAATGATGAAAGTAGGACCAGTATAGAAATAACGAATTGATATAAAACGCCCCCAAAGTCCAAAATGCAAAGGTACACAGAGCCTTTCATTATACTTAGAAAATGTGCACAATTTTTGTTGGGGGTATAATCTGTTATTTCTTGTTAATTCTATAACGGATAATCTGTTATTTATTGTTAATTCTATAATGGTGATTTATAGAATTAATTTGCATGTCTTTTTGTCTTGCTGTAGTTCTGTAGCCCGCTGGTCTGAAAAAAAAATTGGATGGACAACCATATAGAGCTATGCACAGTCTTAACCATGGAAAAAATTATAATTATTGCGCACAAGAATGTGATATGTCTTGATTTACTTACTAATATCCGTTTACTTATGCTGTCACATCAAAATTTTTCTACCCATTTATTCCTACCGGTATTATTATATTCTTGTACTAGCTCCTTCCACAACAAATCATGTCTAAAAACCTTGATTGTTTATATAGCCCTCCTTGGCCTGAAATGAGAGAATCTCGAAGGTTTCGCCTATTGATACCGCGATATTAGATGGCAGGATAATTTGCTCCGGTGGGCTACATGTATGACTTGTACATGCAGTACTGAATAAAACTGTTAGAAACACACAGTTAGTAATGTTTTGAAATATATTGTGAAATAAAAATAGAGAAGCAGTTCTCTTTCATGTGCGATGATTACCTAAACAGCTTTTTTTCAGCATAAAATTACTGGGCCAAAATTTAAGAGCATATATACTTATTAATGTTCAACGAAGAAGTAGTGGTGCACACGACGCGTTGTGCAGAAACAATTGAACAAAATGTCCTATTTTTAACTACATATCTTATTTTAAGGTTGTTCGACTCTCGGACGATCTACAGAAAAAGGGAGTTCTTAAAACCCAAGGTGACGTAGACAAATTCTGGCAGGACTTCGGACATTCCGGTGTAGGACAAGATATTATCAGAAAGGACCCCAGTAAAGAAGGTCAGTTCTGGACAAAAACTGGGCAATAACACTGTTAATTACTAATTTACCTTTTTTGATTCCTAAATAGTTTATGGGTAAATTAGTTATAAATGTGTTCACAAAAAATTAGAAAAGCTTCACACTTATTATTTTAAGGACGAATGACCCTCATGTAAGGGAGATAACTGAAAATTGAAGTAACAACTAAACCTTGTTATAGCTTCATGAGAAATGTTAATAATATTCTAATGTTAATAATATTCTGCTGGAAAAATTCCACTTTCAGTGTAAGAAATATACAATCTGATTGGAACAGGTACCCTACTTTTGTCATCAGGACAAAGGGGGGGGGGTGTTAGTCTAGAGACGATAGAAGAAGGGTGTGGGGTATCTCGGACGTCGACAGAAAAAGGAGGGTTTTAACCACTAGTAGTATAAACATGACTGTATAACTGTTCTCGCTCTCCTGAAAATATAACAACAATTTACAACATATTTTTTTCTAGCTGACCAATCTCCTGAAGACTGGACAGGCATTCGACGAAAATCAAAACCCAAGATAAAACTCGGCAGACATTTAGCACCAGAGAGTCCTGACAAATACAGCGAAGCTAGCATACCGCCGCGAGGTCACACCAAACATCTCGCGGAGGAAATCTTAACGGCACGTGACAAACACGACCCAGAAGGACTCACACCGGAAGTGAAAAATCCTGACAGGAGAAGTAAATCTCGACACAAGAAAAACCTGCCCCCTATTGATAAAAAGAGAGACAAATCAGAGAAAAACCGGAAAAAGGCAAAATCCTGGCCCGACCGTGACCCGAACGTGGATCTCGACGCCGACAAGAAAGATATTTTAGGTCTGTTTTAATCAATATTTCATTACATTTTCTATTATTAATATCTTAATTTCAATATTTTATTATCTCCTTGCAAAGGAGCTAGAGAGGTACACGTATACAGAAATGCGCTTATAATGTTTGGGTGGAATGAATTTATTTCTTCCTGTATGAATACCGTGAAATCCCTAATTTTCGTGGGGTTTAATTTTCGTTGTTTTCGAGGAATAAAGAATTCATGTCCACCACGAAATGTAAAATTTCATATACTCATCTACTAAAATGTTCTTCATCCACGAAATCAAATCCCCATGACACAACATTTTTTCCTCAAACCTCCAAAGTTTAACCCCACGAATGTGATTTTACAGCAACAGTAATTTACATCGAGATATACATATTAGGCTTCTTAGCTCCTGACCTTTCGCTCGGTGAAATTTACATTCCGGTAGAATTATCAAGAAATCAACTTAACTATCTTTCAAAAGTTATCACAGAAAGAACGTCAAATAGAAATTGAAATATATGTACATGTATAGAATGACATACTCTTTTGCAAGGGGATGCTGAGCTTTGTGGTGGCAGATGTCCTTGTTTAGTTTGTATTTGTATATATGAAAGCACAGAAAAAGCAACATACTTTCAAACATGTACTTTGAATGTCATGTTTATCCATAGGCCTCAAGTGCATGGATAGAGTCTTAATATTACGTAAATGAGGTTTTATAATGTATATTATGTATTATAATTATAATCATTTGTGCATTCATTTCTATATACTTTCTTGTATTCTAAATAAAAATCATCTCTTCAAATGTTTCAACATGTGATATGATTATTTTACAGCCAACGAAGTCTAGCCCGCAAATGAAGTGAATCTAACCTCGACAAGCAATATAAGGAATTCGGACGTACATTTAACTGTTTAAAGATGGACCGACAACCTATAGAACAAAGTGACAATTACTCCGCAAGGCTGTCTTTACATTAAAGATGGTTTGGATTTTGGAGATCCAGAGCAGAGATTGTGATCAACTTTTTTTTCAACTTTCGATAATAGAAAATGAAATTCTCCAAACTAATTCCATTTTAAATGTGTTCTGTTCATTGAATGAAACAAATGATCATTGTGTTAGTATACTGAAAATAAATTACTGATCAATCTACTCATTATAAAAAAGTATATATAATATAATTTTTCATGAGTAATCTTTAATACTGTACTAAGGCTAGCCATATATAAGTTGATAACGGTTAACCATGATGATCATGATGATACGCACCATTTTAGTCCAATCTATTTTGAGGCAACCCCAATCATAGAGAAGAGGCCCCACAGAGTTAGCGAGGGGTCATAATATGGGATTATTTTTCTAACAAATCTAAAATTTTCTTTAAAATCTAAAGGAAAGTGCTTGAAAAGTTGCTCTGGTGAGTGTTGTGGCCCATGGGCATCTTTTTTGGTACCCCCCTCCCCCCTCCCCCATTAACACACAGAAATTGTTTCCTCATTGTTAATCAAGAGTTAAATAAGTGAACAATCAGAATATCCATCAAACAATTCATTTGATAGTCAACAATTCATACAATTTTTTATTCAATGTGATATAAACATCATCACAAAGTGTACCTTTATGTCAAAATTACTAAATCACACTCTAAAAATAATACATATGAATAATAAATGGAAGGGTCATACAAAAAATACGCTGTCTCTGAAAATGTATCTGATCTTTGTAATAAATTAAACTGACTTATGAAAATACAACTACCAATGATACGTTAATCTTTTTGCACATTCTGCTTCTGTGTTTTCATTTGTATGGCACTTTTGTTGAAATCACCGTGAATCAATTGTTCTCAGTCACCATTAACAAAAACTTTCAACAAGTCTTAAATAAATTCTCTATATAAATTTTGTTCAAGCTGAAAATAATGTGAACAAATGGAATCCATGTACAGCCAAGAACTAATAATCAGAATGCTTTTATTCTTGAGCAAAATGTTTGGATTCATGAAGCATCACGACAACTGAAATGTACTTGGTATAACTGTATGTACTAATAAATGTTAAAAAATAATCTATGCTAAAAAAAACATACATTTTTATTGACTACCAGACAAATGGGATCAGTTTAGAGTTTTCACTACTACTAGATACATGGGAACAGTTTGAGAGTTTTCTCTTCTACAAGATAAATGGGAACTGTTTGGGAGTTTTCTTGACTACCAGATGAATGGGATCAGTTTGGGAGTTTTATTGACTATCAGATAATTGGGATCAGTTTAATGGTTTTTCTCTGCTACAAGATAAATTTGATCATTTTGTGGTTTTATTGACTACCAGATAAATGGGATGAGTTTGGGAGTTTTCTTGACTACCAGATAAATGGGATGAGTTTGGGAGTTTTCTTGACTACCAGATAAATGGGATGAGTTTGGGAGTTTTCTTGACTACCAGATAAATGGGATTAGTTTGGGAGTTTTCTTGACTACCAGATAAATGGGATTAGTTTGGGAGTTTTCTCGACTACCAGATGAATGGGATTAGTTTGGGAGTTTTCTTGATGTGTTCGTGGAATGCTGGGTCCCCGCCGTATCGTTTAAAGGCTCCCTTTTCCTGTATGGGTATTCCACTGACCTTGGTGAGGAGGAAGGTCAAGAAGAGGGGGGAGATGATGCTGACATGCTCCCAGCCCCGGAGAACCGAGGTAGAGGAGAGGTAGATCCCAGACCACATCATGATCTCCCCCAGGTAGTTAGGGTACTGAACAATGCTCCATAGGCCATGCTGAATAAATTTACCCTGTAAAATAAAGATAGACAGGATAATGTTAGGGTACTGAACGATGCTCCACAGGCCATGCTGTGTAAATTTACCCTGTAACATAAACACAGAAAGTATAATGTTAGGGTACTAAACAATGCTCCACAGGTCATTCTGGATAAATTTACTCTGTAAAATAAATAAAGACAAAACAATGCTCCACAGGCCCTGCTGGATAAATTTATCCTGTTAAATAGATGTACAGATAGACATGACAACACTGGGAAAAATGTTATCCTGTAAAATAAAGACAGATAGGGTAGTGCTGGATAAATTTCCTTGTAAAATAAAGATAAACAGGACAATGCAAAGGCCAAGCTGGATAAATTTACCCTGTACATAGTCTAAACAATGCTCCACAGGTCCTGCTGGATAAATTTGTTTATTTCGTTTTAGATAATTTGCATCAAGTTGAAGCAGAACTACAAGGATAAGTGAAAGTATAATACAATGCTTTTTTAATAATGACAAAACTGTTCTAGAAACTTTGAGAAGAGTAAATTGTAGAGCAAATGCAGCTGCAAAGTACATGTATATTATTACAACTGACACTTCATCCAAAGAAGTCATCCGCATGGCATACGTTAGAGCGTCTGCTCTAGAGTCACAAAGTAAGGAGTTGATGAGTCATCTCCCACTGTTGGACATGGAGACCAGTCCTTCAAATGAGACCATATAAACTGTGGTCCCAAGTCGCAGTAGGTGCTGGCATGAAAAAGATCCCTCCCTGTTCAATGGCCCTGAGTGCTGAGTATAGGACAAAATTTGCAGCTCTCCACCGACAAGTGGTGGTGTCTCCATATGAGTGAAAAATTCTCGAGAGGGACGTTAAACAAAAATTATAATAGATTATAAAAAAGCGTAAACTGACCTAAACCAGATTATACTTGATAATTCAGCCAAGAATTAGAGTCATTCCTCATACTTTTATTTTAAAATAATTAAAAACAAATTTGGATAAAAAACTGTGTTGCTTTTTACGAGTTCAAATTTACTGTGCAATAATACAACCGTAGTAATGGAAGTGATGTGAAGCGAGGGGAGGTAAAAACTGACACATAGATCTAACAGCCATGTTGTTTGTTTACATGAGGTAAGATCGAGTAACTGTTTGAAGTTAAAGGTACATTTATTAAATCTGGAATTTTCCATAGATTCCAAGGACTGGAAATGAGGGGATTGCATGTATATGATGATTAAGCTGGTTGTCAAGGGGGTGTGTCCCCATACCAAACCAGATTATACAAAATAATTTGCGTTCCTTTTTGGAAATCAACCAATGAGAGGTGAGAATACAAACAAAAATATTTTCTCATGAACTACAATGGATGAGCATAAATATCTCAATATTGTACTTGGAAACTATAGTGCAAACTGTTTTGCTTTAAAAAGGACAGTTGAATTGTGTCACCTATTAAGACAAAATGATGTAAATATAAAAAATCAATGTAATTTTTGGAGATTCATGAGGTATATGAACTACAAAGCTTCACGCCATTTCATGCCGGGGTGAAGCGTCATACATGTACTTCATGTACCTCATGAATCTTCAAATATTAAATTCACTTCTTAATTGGAGATATTGATTGATTTCAGAAGATCCACCATGTGGTGTTAGGGAAAGCTGAATCAAACTGTCACTTGTTTACAATTAGTGGATTTTTCTGTTTGTATTTTGGTTAATACATGTTATCCCTCTTGAGAATTTTTTACTCATATGGAGACGCCACCACTTGCCAGTGGAGAGCTGCAAAGTTTGTCCTATACTCGGCACTCAGGGCCATTGAGCAGTGAGGATTTTTTTCGTGCCTGCACGGTCTCATCCGAAGGACCGGTCTCCACATCCCAAAGTGGGATTTGAAATCAGAAATAAAATTGGATGACATACAGAAGGATACAGAAAACAGAATCCCTAGTACCTGGTTCTCTGGATTTCCCCTGAAGGCGGATTTCTGGTAATCCGCGATGCTCTCGATCAGAAATCCGGCCGTCCACAGGGACCATCCAATATAATCCCGCGAGGTCAAAGGTCGGTCCTCTCTCTTGTCATTCACAATTAGTGTTGGAAGCAGAGTCAGGAACACCCACATACCTACACAGAAAGCAGGAGACTTAATGTAAGAGGCATTTTTACTTTAAGTATTACTGTAAATGTCTTACGTTTGGCAGTGTACTCTTTTATTGAGTGCTTTTGGTGGAGAGACATTTCCACTAATTCAAATACCAAACTAAATCTCATGCACATACATACATATATTAAAACATTTAGAAATGCGCTAAATCAAATCTACTCTAACATGTTCAAAAATCAATTTCCGCCAAATATTGTACATTCAGGCTAAATATAATACATTTACAGTATCCAACATACTTCTACAACAGTGAAATCAAAGCTTTCACTTACATGTAGATGCCATTCTACAAGTTATAAATATGTGTAGAAAACTTGTCATCACTAAAATTGATGACATAATAAGCAAGGAGTTTAGGGAATTTACCTACTAAATATGTACACATTTGAAATCTCAACCTCTCTATTGTTGCAAACCAAGGGTATTCATGCACCCTTATTCCTACAAATATAACTGATACATGTACTGTGGTTTCATTAATATTTGTCAAGCACTGATTTTCAAGGATTTCATTGTTGAGCAGATCCACGAATTAAAATCCTCATTGAATTAAGAAATTTGCTATTAATTTGTATAGGCAATGCTTTTTTCCACGAAATTACTTAATATCCTTGAAAATGTGTTTTACAAAATCCACTAAAATTAGTTCCAACAAAAATTGATGAAACCACAGTAATTTGTATCTGACTATCTGATTCCTGAGATTCCAACATACTGTTAACATATTACATTTAGCGGTGTGTATTCTATTTAGTGATTTTGGCAGAAAGCAGAGGCCTCTAATTCATGTACTTCACTAAATGTCTTGTATATTAACTTTTATGACAAATTCAAATGCAAATTAAGACAGCGCTGAATCTAATCTACGCTTGTTGAAAATTGAATTTCCGCCAAATATTGTACATGCCAAATATGATACATTTACAGTATTTGACGACAGGAAGACTAAAATCCATTTATATAGGACCAAGAGTGGATTAAAATCCATTTATAGGACTCAAGGTGGATTAAAATCCATTTATAGGACCCAAGGTGGATTAAGATCCATTTATAGGACCCGGTGTGGATTAAAATCCATTATTGCAAAAAAGCTTCTAAATAAATACATGATATATTGTCCAACTGTAAAAATAAGCCTTCGATTGTAAAAGTCAGTGCTCTTTGCAAAAATCCATTTATCACCGGATTCCTCATTTAATTTTTATGCCTTTATATTAGTGAGAAAGAAATTTTTTTTTTTCAGATTAATTTCACCTGTACTCGTCACTTATAACCATAGAGCAGTGAGGGATCTTTTTTAGCAACAGTTTCTGCTACCAAACAGGAGAATTAGTCCATGAGTCTCCATTTGAAAGATTACAAATACATGAATTGCTACTTTTAAAATTTTCACCTTGAATTGTCCAGTACACGAAGAAGGTCCCAGGTCTGTCCCTGACCTTGTTAAAGCGCCGATCTTGACCTTCTTTCAGAATTCTTGTGAAAAGAAACAGCCCAAGTCTATACAAAAGAAGAAGTGTTTATAAGTATTACATGTCATGCTACCTAATAAAAGCTTGTAATCTCTATATTATTAAGATAAAAAAAATGTGAGAGATGTTCAAGTTTTTCATGACTATAACATTCAAATTCCATGGAAATGACTGACATAAAGAACAAGTTGTTGGGACTTTTAACTCACTTGGACATATTACAGCTATTAAGGAATAGTAATGTTAGGTTAAAGTTCAAGATGGTAACAAGAGCCAATTTTCTCTGAGTATCTCAATATTCTCGGAATTTCTCAATTTTCTCAAACTCTGAGGTATCTCAACTTCTTAAGCAGTGATAAGAAATATTAACGAAGCTACAGAAATTAATCTACCATCATGATACCTGAACGCCCATGAGACCACCATTCCCGTATTGACTTTCTGCCTGAAGTGGTATCTCCCTCCCCATTTCAGACTTTGTAAGGCTAGGCATATAAACGTCCCTGATCCTACAATGAGAAGATTTAACATAAGTCATATAATTCAACTGAGTACTAGCGTAAACATCCCTAAATAGGAATCTTAACATCAGGCAGTCCCTGATCCTACAATGAGATGATTCCATATAACATGTAAAATTAAGTCACTGTCATACTAACTGCATGTCGTTGAGTATTATAATAATTATTATAGTGTATGGTGGTTTGGATCGTGGATATCGGCCTGGATAAGCTCAGTTGGTAGAGTACCTGACAAGAGATGCAAGGGTCCGGGTTTGATTCCCGGTCCAGCCATACATTTTCTCCTTTCCTGTTACAGATTTTTGTGTCACTGACCACCCATGGAATTGCGGGTGAAAGTCATGCCAGGGTGTAATAAGAACTTGGGTTGTGTCTTTGAGGTTGAAGACCATCTAAGGAGGGAGGAATGTAATGGTTTGGGTTGTGGATATCGGCCTGGAGAGCTCAGTAGGTAGAGCATCAGACTGGAGATGCAGGGGTTCCGGGTTCGATTCCAGGTCCAGCCATACATCTTCTCCCCTCCTTATTACAAGTGTAAATGCTATAAAATATGATCTTAACACCAGACATTGCAGTGAGATGTTTTCATCTGGTCCCTTACTCTGTTACTGGGGCGTTTCTTTCTCCTAGTGACTCGGGAAGAATAAAATCTGGGATATATATTAACAAACATGTGCTTAATTTCACAGAAAATTAATTAGCCTATTGATAACTTTGACACTTTTACGTACTTTCGTTTTCACTTTGAAAACTTTTTTGTACGTTATAAAAAGTTAGAATACAGGTCCCTGTCGATATTGTCAAAATATGAAAAGGCGATATGTAAATTTTCATGCATATTATAATTTAAGTTTACGACATTTATTGAATGTTCCAATTAAAAAGACCATTAAAATCTATATACAGATCATACAAGGACAGCGAAAGTTTAGTTTAGGTTACGTAACTTGAAAATGTTCCTGCTAACGAAGTTTTACGCAGTTTGAAAGATTTTACCTGCCAGATCGTAAAATTTTTCAGTCTTGAGACTAGCTGCCACCGCCCAGCCTACCCACTGAATGCCGAAATCTACTGCCGCCGCCTTCACCAAAGAGTTTCCCATGATTTCCAGCATGTGCAAAGGTCTTTATAACAAAGTATCGACCAGTCTCGAGGATTCCGAATTATTGTAAACAAACTTTCGGAACTTAAAAGTAAATGTAAAAAAATAATGACCATAATTTCCGGATACACTTCTATGTATGAAGTTATTGCCCTGTCCGTCCGTCTGTCTGCTTATTTGGTTCTTAAAGGCACGTAGCATTAGGGGGTGCCGGGGGGGGCACCCCCGCTTTTTTCCAGACATAAGTTTATCTATTCATTGAAAGTCCGGTTGACCCCCTCCCCTATTTTGGGTGCAGTTTTGTAAAATAAGGGTAATATAAGGGTAATGCAGTGTTTTAATAAAAAAAAGATACTAGAAGAAGTTAACCCCCCCCCCCCCGAAATTGGATTTTCTACTTTTGACAATTTTCCTTTATTTTCCTTTTTTACTTGTCAACCTTTTCCAGGTATTATAAGTTAAAAAAATTCCTCGGGTTGAACCACCCCCCCCCACTCAAAAAAAGATGCTCCGTCACTGTGTTAAAAATGTGGAGATAAAGATAGACACCCCCCTCCCCACCCCCTCTTCCGTCACATTTTGGTCTGGCTGTTAACAATTTAATTTAAAAACTGAAAATCAATGAAAACGGTGGCCTTTTTAAGATTCGTATATATTATATGCAATTAATAATGGTATTATTTAATACTGTGTATCGACTACGTAAATATAATCCTATTGATTTTTTTACTGCGGTGTCGGTCTCCGGGGCCGCTGCTAACAATTTGATTCCCGACGCTGTAGATAATCACCGATAAAATTAAAGGAAAAAAATTCAATATGACAGAAAAATATCGATAATGGAGTTTTCATTCCATTCTCTGTCAGTGAAAAGGGAACCCAGTAAAAGCCACACGGAATAATTTTAGCTGCACTGACAGGAAAGTGCCATGTTCACTGAATTACGATCCCAGAGGCTCACAAACCATTGAATTGTCCAAAGATGGAGACTTGAACAGTTTTTGAGATTTTTTTTCATGGATTGTCAAGGGTTTGTAGAAAATATTTCATCCAAATTGTGTATTTTGAAGCATCGAAAACGATAATTAGCATATTTTTTTTTAAATATTGGAAAGTGCTTCGGGGGGAGGGGGGAGGGGGTTGTTATGATCGACTATAATCAAAGAGGGAAAATCACAATATTCATTACCCTTATTTCTGGCAAGTGCTAGGGTGAATTCACCATGCCCCCTTGTACTTCAACAAGTTGGATATTCTACCGACAAAATTTCAAAATTGAGTTTAACATTTAATTTGTGATTAAAATATCAAAATTTGGGACACAATTATATGCCCTTTATTGAGAAAATATCCTCAAAAATGTGTTTTTAAAATGTGATAACTCAAAATTCACCATGGATCACATTTTTACCTGCATCGGAACAATTTAATTTAAAAAAAAATATCAAAATCAAAGTGCTTATAAATGCTTGATATGGATATACTTTTATCTTTTATCTAAGAAATAATCCTCAACTTAAATTTAATTGACGATATCGTGCACAAATGTAGAACGATTCAAGAGACCTCAGTCTGCCTTAGAAAATGCTTTAAATGCTTATAATGCAGTAATTCGCGCCCTTTTTTTATGGTTTATCATACTCTGGTTTGTAGAAATATATTGAGTCAAATTCCAGACGTCATATATCGATAACTTGTATTCTGACTGAAAATATAGAGTTTTTATTTTCTTTTTCCGCAAAAACAGCTATCAGCTGGGTTCTGTATGAAAATGGCAGTGCTTACCATTGCATCGGAAAGTGTCCGATTCATGGTTAATTTGTGTCCGATGTACGGAGAAATGAACATACTAGTGAAAACCAGCTCTGAAAAGAATTATACGAACATTGAAGTGAAATTTCTTTAAAATTTATGTAAAATTACCAGTCTTTGACTTTTTTTTCAAAGATTGTCAAGGGTTTGTGAAGTCGAATTTTAAAATTGATATTTTAAAAATCGAAAATCATAATTTTCTGGTTATTTTTTTGATGTAAAATATGGAACTTCAAGGCCATTCTCGGGGTATTTTTATCACAACATGATAATAACAATCAGTATCATAAAAAAATTTAAATCTTCACCTTCTAGACAGAAACAAATAAAGACACGGAACTTTTAAGTTGAAAGAGAATTTATTGTCTAAAGTTGTCCGAAGCAAGGTATGTGTCCGATGCATGGTGAATTCACCCTATATATTTTTGGTCATATATTGCATGATAGCGTATGAACGAGAGGTTTTTATGTCAGTTTTCTCCAATCTGTATGAATAGAAAGAGACAGGAAATTTAACTGTGCTAATAGAAAAAAGGGTATTGAGCTATTTCTAGGGAACATGTTTTATTATTATTTAATTGTTCTGTAATGGCGTAAATATGCGGAATAAGCACACAATAAAATAAAATCAAATATTAACACCTATTTATCAATCGTTTATTTGCTCAAATGAACCAATGCATCTAACAAATTGTTGAAATCTATAAAGGTAATTATTTTCATAATGTTTTAGACGGCTAATTTAACAATTTTTAAAATGTGCATTTGCAGAAATCAAACAATAATGAAAATGATATTTATATGGATGTTCAAGCATGCATTTTTTTAAAAGCATGCAGCTGGATATAATTAAAAATCATTTGAATAACAAAACATATAGAAGATATTTGCTCATTCAACAATTAAATGACAGATGAGAATTTAACAGGACCAAATGATTTCCCTATCTACATGTACAAAGTAAACTGGGGGTTACCGTTCAATTAAACGCTCAAACCCGAAGAAAAATGCAAGCGTTCAGGTACCCAAAAAAATTTCATTCCTAAATCGATTGATTTACAAACAGTTCTCAGATGTATAATATCTTCTTTATATAGTTACATGTACGCAGGTAGTTCAAACATTGTCCATATTAGCATCTAATCAAGGTCATTGAAATAATAAAAAAAGAAGGTCGACATAAAATGATATGTCCAACAGACCCGGGATCGAGTATAGGTTAGGGAGAGGGGGGTCTTGTCCACAAGTACTTATTATGACGCAATTACTCACACCCCCTTTTACAGCTGCTGTTGGTAAATCAATATTCAAAAAGATATTTTTCTGTAATGACCCACTCTGTTCGAATTTGTTATATATAGACAGGTTATGTTCCCGAGCTTCCTTTTTGTTTAATACTGGGAGGAGGGGGGCTCAGGAACCCGACTACAGATAGACACACAGGTACTCGTATATACTCTAGAGGAAGTTGTTCATATATTTATTCTGTCATCGACGTGTAGCAATTTAAGTATTTTCTCTAATGTTTAACATTCTTCTGTTAAACAAAAGCAAACAGAAATATTGACCGCTAATTAACATACAAAACACGTTATATACCAGGAGTAAATAATTCTCGACTTTTAATAGACCAAGAGTCTTAAGCTTTCACAGTGTATTAATAACGTCTACAATCAATTACATATATGTATAAAAGTCCCTTATATTATACATATTCAACGAAAGGCCCGTGGACCACCCTACAGGTACTTGTGGAGAGGACCCCCCCCCCCTATACTCTCCTGCTCAAAATATTTTTCTTTTTCTCATGAATTATGTTTGTAGTACTCATTTACAACGTATTCGATACGAAAAATCCAAAAATAGCATAGATTCAAAGATTTACTAAAAAGTCATACCCCTGGACGGAGGGGGGACAGACGCCGGACAAACAGCTAGACAGACGGACAATTAAAAGCTCACTTGAGTATTAAGCTCTGGTGAGCTAAATATAGAATGGGCTCTAAATATATATACGAAGGAGAGAGAGAGAGAGAGAGAGAGAGAGAGAGCGTTGTTTTTTAAAATAATGCAGCTATTTTTTGTGTATGTCGTACGGTGTATCGATAAAGACAAAATTTTCTTTTTGATTTAATTGCTGTGTTGGCTTGATTTGTACCATGCTGTACAAACACAACTAAAAACAATTTTATTCACTTTTACCTGTATGAATCTTCTGATAAATTGACATTGATTTAAACAGCAGGCGAATAATTCCGGATCAAACGACAGTCATATCAATTTTATAGACCCTTAGATACACAAAACTCAGATATACCTACAGAAAATCCAGGGGAGAGCCGATCGACTTCTTATGTGTACATACAAAAATTTGATTAGCGGGCCATAATGCCTGTGACATTTCTGTGGAGTCTTTGGACACGACAGGCCTGATAGATTTAGAGCCGACTACCGATTGGTACTGGTCGATAGAGCCCTACTATAAAGACAGAGGGACCCCGTGACTTTCCCCGGGGGGACTATAAGTGACGGTATAGGGAGGGGCATACGTGAGCTTGAGATGTCGCAGGCGAGCTATCTGAACACGTTTAGGAGACTGAGGTAAACGTTTAGAAGACTAAGTTAAGAAACCTGGTATCAGGCAAACACTTGTAAATGGACCTGATTTTAGATGTAAATTTATAAGCGTATACATACATCAATCAAATTTTTATTTAAAAATTCTTTTTATGTGCTTGATGAGGTGCATGTCTAATTGTAAGAAAACATGATAAAAAGTGATGAAATGTTTTATTACGCTGATGTATGTAATTGAGTATATACTAGTAGCATTATCGACAAAATCTAAGGCATTGCCAAGTGAACTAGTGCTAATTGTAACGGGGACCGTTACAGATGTTCCCCAAACGCTCCCCGAATCCCTTTTATAGTCATATTCCCCGAAAGCGTAATTAAATAAGACAAACTTTATGCATTTGAGACTTTAACAACGTTTACCCAGAAGTGTACCATGTTCATTAAAATTTTATCACTGCACACTTGCGCATGTGAATGCATGTGCGTGATGACCATATCATATTGTCTAAACAATTTATATATTTTAATATGCTAAATATTAAAGTATTTAATCCAAAAATATTAAAAAAACCGCTCATTCAAGTGCATTTTTGATTTTACCCATTTCACGTGCACGCACGTGCATATATAAGCAAGCATGGTGACCATACCTTCTTGTCTTGTAG